GGGGACCCAGTGGTGAGGCGCTTGTTGTCACCCCAGAAGCGGTCACATTTTGGGGTGGGCAAAGAGAGGTGCTCCATGTAAGCCACCCACACTGCCATTAGCCCAACTCTGCCCCATTCCTGGCGCCATCACAACGTCCTAATGATGATGGGGCTGGTTTTTTACCCCTCCTTGCCCCATCTCCATGCTTTTTTGGGGTGCAGCCGTGAATGTGGCCATGCTGTGCCCACGGTGTGCAACCCTTTGGCCCTGGGGGCAGAGCCCGGCCCTGTTTACTCCCCTGCTCTGGTTGAGGCATGTCCACAGCACGGGCGGGCAGGGCCTCCTGGACAGCCTGTCCCCATCTTGTTTACCACCGCCAGCTCCCCTATGGCTCACCACCGTGTGACAGGTGCTGCTTCCTCGGACACCCGACCCCGTGTCGGGATTTGGGTCCTCGTGACCAGGGAGCGACTTATAAATAGCGGGACGAGGGGCGACAGCAGCCGAGAGCGGTGAGAGGAGAGCGCTGACAAGGCAATGGATTTCCAAGCAGGCATCCTGCAGGATGGCAGCCCCATGGAGAGCCTGGAGAAGCAGCTCATCTGCCCCATCTGCCTGGAGATGTTCAGCAAGCCGGTGGTGATCCTGCCCTGCCAACACAACCTCTGTCGCAAGTGTGCCAACGACGTCTTCCAGGTGAGACGAAGGCCCCCCTGTGCTCGTTCCATCCCCCCTGCCCGGGGCTGGAGGTTGTCAGGGTGGTCGTGGTGCTGTGGAGACACTGATATTGTTCTTCTCCCCCTCCCAGGCTGCCAACCCGTACTGGCAGAGCCGGGGCAGTTTGATTTCGGGGGGCCGGTTCCGGTGCCCGTCGTGCCGCCACGAGGTGCTGCTGGACCGTCACGGGGTCTATGGGCTGCAGAGGAACCTGCTGGTGGAGAACATCATCGACATCTACAAGCAGGAGTGCTCCAGGTAGGCACAGGTGGCTGTGGCTGACTGGGATGTGGGGATATGGGGATGTGGGGACTCGGGGATGCCCCCCTCCCATTCCCCAGCACCATCACTGGCACCACAGGAGACTGAGAAACTGGGAGGCTTTCTGCTGGCTCAATGGTCCCTGATTCAGATCTTCTTATCCTGACCCAAATCATCCCCCCTCAATCAAAATCTTCATCCCGTGCCTCAAAACTTCTTCCCCTGACCCAAAACTTCCTCCCTCGATCCAATTCTCTCCCTTGTCCAGAGTAGTTTGTGTCTCTGGGCGGCTCAGGGGGGTGGTGGGTCCCTGGGGGGGTGGTGACAGTAGAACAAGTCCTGTTCCTCCTCAAAATGCTCCTGTTGGAGTGTTGGGTGGGAGATAAGAGGTGTGGGGGACAAATCCAGGCCCTGCTCATGACAGCAGGCACTGAAGCTGATAAGAGGAAGAAGGGCAGTTTGGGGGGGGCAAACATGAAGGTGGAGGGGGGACAGGAGGGTCACAGGTTCTCGAGGCAGAGCAATGGCCCTGGCCAAATTCCCTGCACTGCTGTAAATATTGTTTGAGAGCCATGGGGACGGGGACGATGGCACGTGGCAGGTGTCACAGAGGCTGGGGGGGGGATCGGGGGGCCCAGCCCTGTCTTTACTTCAGAGGGTTGGCTTGTCCCCATGTCCCTCCTTGCTGTAGACGGGATGATTTGGCTCCAACCCCTGTCTGGGACCTCCTGGGGGTTTCTGGGAGCCCCCGCCCTGGTCACGCGATGGGTGACAATAAATCCAGGCAGCACTGGGCTAAATTTAGGCCCTTGTGCAGCGTCCCTGGAGCGCAGCCCAGAGCCCCCCCTGCCCCCCATGCCAACCACTGCCATGCCCAGAGACACAGGGCTTGAAATTGGGACTTACTGGGCTTGGGGCTTACAGAGGCACAGAGTTTGGTGGCTCCTGAAGGGAGCGAGTGTGGGATTATGGCAGCATCTGGCCTTTTTCCAGGGGACTTGGTTTTGGGGTGACCGTGCAGCACCAGCGGGGTGATGCCACAACGGGACATCATCACGGTGGCAGGGATGTCCCTGCAGTGGGGGCATCACCCCCGTGGGGTCACGGCAGGGACGTCACTGTGGCTGTGCCGCTCTCCCCAGCAGGCCACTGAAGAAGGGGGAGCACCCCATGTGCAAGGAGCACGAGGACGAGCGGATCAACATCTACTGCGTCACCTGCGAGGTCCCCACCTGCTCCATGTGCAAAGTCTTCGGTGCCCACAAGGACTGCGAGGTCGCCCCTCTGCAAACCGTCTTCCAGGGCCAGAAGGTGACGAGGGGGGGACACGGGGGAAGAGGGGGGGGGTGCGGGTGACACAGCTGGTCCTGGGGCGATGTGCTGAGCTAGGACAGTCACGAATAACACTGGGATTGGCTCACAGGGTATTAATAGCCCCCCGGGTGACTTCGCCCAGGAGACAGACTATATTTAGAGCAGCCGTGGCTTGTGGGGGAGCAGAGCTGGGGACAAGCAATGCCCAGCCTATCCCTGTGTTGGGATGGGGGAAGTCCCCAACCCCGCAGGATTTAAAGCTGTTTGTGTCTCTCCCTCCCCAGACTGAGCTGAACAACTGCATCTCCATGCTGGTGGCGGGGAACGACCGGATCCAGACCATCATCTCCCAGCTGGAGGACTCGTGCCAGAGCACCGAGGTGAGGGAAGGGGGGAAAACAAACCCCCCCAAAAACCCAGGCGTGAAACCTCAGCTGGGGATGGCCTCAGCAGGGAAGCCCTGGGGGTGCTGCTGATGCTGAAGGGACACACAGGTGGCATCCTTTTGTGCCCTGTCCCCCCCCAGGAGAACAGCGAGGCGGCCAAGCGGGAGCTGTGCGCTCGCTTCGACGCCTTGGCAGCGCTGCTGGAGGAGAAGAAGTCGGAGCTGCTGCAGCGCATCTCCCAGGAGCAGGCAGACAAGACAGCCTTCATCCAGAGCCTCATCTGCCAGTACAAGGAGCAGCTGGAGAAGTCGAGCCGGCTGGTGGAAACGGCCATCCAGGCAGCGGAGGAGACCGGCGGGGCTGCCTTCCTCATGGTGAGACCCCCCAAATTTTCCCTCCCTGCTGGTGCCCACGTGGGGTCCTACTGTCGAGGACATCCTGGTGGCTGTCTTGTGGCTTTGCTCACCTCCTTCTCCTTCTTCTCCTTCTCCTCCTTCGTCTCCGCCTCTCTCCGCACAGAATGCCAAGCAGCTCATCAAAACGTAAGTGCTCAGACTGGGGGAAAATCCAGTGATCCCAGCCCCACAGATGGGCAGGATTTGGCCACGGGGCTTTGGCGGTGGGGGGTTACCCCGACCCCCTTACCCTGGCACCCCGTGGTCCTCCAGCTTGGCGAGGGGACAGGGACACACATATCCATGCTTTCCCTGCCCAGGATCGTGGAGGCCTCCAAGGGTGGTCGTCTGGGGAAGATCGAGCAGGGATACGAGAGCATGGATGCCTTCTCTGTGAGCCTGGACCACCTCACCGAGGCTGTCCGTGCCTTGGACTTCGACCCCGGTAATTCAGCCCCCGACCCCCTTGACACCCCTTTACCAATTCTCACCTATCTGGTGACATCCATCACCTTTCCTGGTGGCTCCTGGTGACATTTGGTGGCTCGTTTGCAGCAGAGGAAGACGAGGAATTCTTTGACGGGGAGGAGGAAGAGGTGGAAGAGGACACAGCACCCGAGAAGACAGTGATGGGTAAGGAGCCAAGCCCACCCCCCTTGGACCCTCAACCCCTGGGGGAGCTCTGGGGGGGCTTGGACTCCCCTTGACCCTCCTGCCCTCTTCCCTGGCAGATTCCCAGTAGCCACAGCGACGTTGCCAGCACGGGATAAACGCCTCGGGCACAGGATGTCCGGCGGTGGATTTGGGATTTGGGGGTGGGGGGGGACACGGCGCAGGGACCGGCAGCCCGGAGAGCCGGCGCCTGCTCCAGCACAGGACACTTTTCCATACGGGTGCAAACGGGATGATTCCCTCACGTTTTGTAATTTTCCTTGTTTTTGTACATAATTGTCACGGATTTGAAATTTGTGTATTTTGTAAAGAAAGAACTGGTGGTCTGGGTGGTTATTTCTTCCTCGCCTCTCTCTCCCTTCTTGGCTTGTGGCTGGGGGGGTGGTTTGCCAGGATGGTGCCATCACTGGTGGCCCTGCTGGCTCTTGGCGTGGCAGAGGGACATCTCCAATCCAACTCTTTAATTTCCAGCCTCGTTAGCACCTCTGGCAGTGCTGGCACGTGGGCCTGGCCGCCTGCCTGGGGATATAACAGGTCAGCACCCGACAGGATTTATCTCCTGGCCATGGGATGTGCTTGCCTGGGGTTGGAAATGTGGCTGAGGATGCTCCAGGCTGTGCCAGTCCCCAAAATGGGGATGGTCTTGGCATCTGCTGGTTTGCTGCTGGCTGAGCTCACACAAGTGCAAAAATACACCTTGAATGCAAAAATACACCATAAATGCTTTTCTCCTGAAAAAACCACAAACCTGGCTCAGCAGGGGCCAAGGGGGAATGAGGCAGGGCCTGCAGCATTGCCCTGGGCTGCGTCACAATTGCAATTAGCCCCAGGGGGGGCAGGAGTCGCTGCTGGGGGCGGGTCTGGCTCCAGGCTTATCCATCACATGGTTGCTCCGCAGCTGGATCTAAACCGGGGAGTTCCAAGGGCTCTCCAAGTCAGGGAGGGGGGGGTCACCAGGAGCCTTTTGGGGGGGGGAAACATGGGGATGCTCCATTCCCCCCTGCCTCGGGGGCTGCATCCACGCTGTGGTGTGCAGCTCCTGGGGGGTGGTTTGCGAGGGTGGCAGAGGAATCTCCCCCTCCAGGTGCCGGGTGAGGGGGCCAGCCCCGGGTCAAGGCGGCGGCGGGCGCTTTGCAGCCGGCTTGGCCGTCCCTCCTCCAGCCGGGATTTGCACACGAATCCCGGCGCTCCACACGATCCGAGGCCACCGGCTGCCACCAGCGCCGGCCACACGCCGGGGTCACCCGCCCCGAGCCCCCCGACCCGGAGGAGGATGGCAGCCGGAGAGGAGAAACGGCACCTCCTGAGCGAGGGCGCAGCCGGGTAGGGGGTACCCGGTGGGGCTGGGGATGTTGGGTCTCTTCTCCGTGGAGCTCCAAAGCGGGGTCTCCTGGAGACACCTGGCCAGGGAAGGGGCGGGACGGCGGGACATTCAGGGTCTAACCCCCTTCCCAAAATCCCCCCGGCTCCCAACCGCCCCTTCGCCCGGCAGGTCCTACGTGGGGGCTGAGCAAAGGGACGGGCACAGCTCGGTGCAGGGGCAGGCGCCCGCCCTGGAGCTGGGGACACGGCATGGCCAGCACTGCCACACCCGAGGGCCCGACGGCCACCCCGGGCAGCAGCGGCGGGCGCGCAGGAAGCTCTACCTGGCCGCTGGCATCTGCCTTGTCTTCATGGTGGGGGAAGCCGTGGGTGAGTGGTAGGTGCGGGGTCCCAGGGGATGGTCCCTGTGGGGTCACCCTGCAGCACCTCTTGTCCTGATTCCCTGCTGTGGGTGCGGGCGTGGGGTCCCTGTGGGTTTTCAGGGGGTCTAGACGCACAGTGGGGATCCCACTGTGGCACGGGGTGAGCTGGCCTGTGCCAGCTTTGGGGTGGGATGCCACCCCGACGTCCCCACTGATGTGCCCTCTCTGCAGGGGGGTACCTGGCACACAGCCTGGCCATCCTGACGGACGCAGCCCACCTCCTGACAGACTTTGCCAGCATCATGATCAGCCTCTCTGCACTCTGGGTGTCCTCACGCCCACCCACAAAAACCATGAACTTCGGGCTGGCACCGGGCAGGTAACGGGGTGGCACCACCATCCAGCTCCCAGGAACCCCAGGGAGCACTCAGAGCATCCCAGGGTGCTCTCTCCATGGGGACTGGATGCTTTGGGGTGTCCTGCAGGGCACGGAGAGCCCTGGCAAAGCCCTGGCACAAAGGGCAGGGTAGGGCAGAGACAAGGAGCATCCCCAGGGATGGGTGCTGGGTGCCCATCCCACGCCCCGATGCTGCTGGGGAGCCCAGAAGGGAGCTCAGGTTTGGCACAGCGACAAAGCAACAATGTGGGGTGGGGGTCTCTCCACAGAGATCCTGGGGGCCCTGCTCTCTGTGCTCTCCATCTGGGTGGTCACGGGGGTCCTGGTCTACCTGGCAGCCCAGCGCCTGCTCTCAGGTGACTACGACATCGAGGGTGGGGTCATGCTCATCACCTCTGCCTGTGCCGTGGCCGTCAACATCGTGTACGTATGGCCAGCTGGCTCCTGCCCTCCCTGGGTGTCCCCTCCCTGCGCCTGGTGGCCCCTGGGGGTGTCACCACTGTCCTACCCGCAGGATGGGGATGGCTCTGCACCAGACAGGGCACGGGCACAGCCACGGGGCAGCCGGAGAGCAGCCCAGCGCCAGCGTCCGCGCCGCCTTCGTCCACGTCGTGGGGGACCTGCTGCAGAGTGTTGGTGTCCTCATCGCGTCCTACATCATCTTCTTCAAGGTCTGGGTGTTACTGGGGCCAAAGGGGATGCTTGGGGACATGGGGACAGCAGCTTCAGCCAGCCCTGGTCAGACAGAGGGGTGACACGGAGACAGAGGGGTCTGACGGAGACATAGGGGTGAGAGTGTCTCCTGCCTGCTGGTGCTGTTGGGGGCTTGGGGTGAGGTGATGTTTCCAGAGAGGCCTCACCCTCTCCCACCCTCCCTAGCCCGATTACAAGTTCGTGGATCCCGTCTGCACCTTCCTCTTCTCCGCGCTGGTGCTGGGGACGACGCTGACCATCCTGCGTGACGTCCTCCTCGTCCTCATGGAAGGTGGGGACCCACCGGGAGGGGGTGTCTGGGCCAGGGGGTCACCCATGGGTGCCGTGGTCCCCCTCACGCAGTGCCTGTGGCTCCCCCCCAGGGACCCCCAAAGGGATGGATTTCAACGCGGTGCGGGAGGCGCTGCTGGCGGTGCGGGGGGTGGAGGCCGTGCACAGCCTCCACATCTGGGCGCTGACGGCAGCACAGCCCCTGCTCTCGGTGCACATCGCCATCAGTGAGTACCCCAGGGAGGGGGTCAGGGGTCATCCACACCCCACGTCCCTCCCCTTGCCATCCCAAAGCGGGGTTTGGGGTCAGGGTTCACCCACGCCCCCACAGCCCCTCCCTCGCTCCCCGCAGACGCCGCTGCCAGCGCGCAGGAAGTGCTGGAGGAGGCCAGCTCCCAGCTGCAGGGCACCTTCCACTTCCACACCACCACCATCCAGGTGGAGAGCTACTCCGAGGAGATGAGGGACTGCCGGGAATGCCAGCCCCCCCGCGACTGAGTGCTCTGCTCCTGTCCCGGGGCAAACTTCTTGTGGGTGGAAAATAAAGCAGAGCACACTGGTGTTGGGTCTGGCATCAGGGCGTTATCTCTGGTATCTGTAGGAATCGAGGGCAGACCCAGGGCTGTGGAAGCCGGAGGGCAGCAGCTGTTGGAAGCCAGCAGCCTTAATATTCCCTATTTCCATTCAGCTGGAGGGTAAGGCAGCTACAACCCCCCCTTTTCCCTTCTCCGGGGAGCGCTGTGAGGCAGTGGGGTGCTGGAGTGCCTGATGCTGTGGGTGGACCCATCCCAGCTGGAGGAAGGAGGACACACCGGCCTTGCTCTCTCCTCTTATCACTCCTCTGTTTGCCCTCGGGAGGGTGAAGGACTCGCCCTCCCCGCGGGGCTGGGGGAGCTGTATATGCAGCCGGGAGCTGCCCGGGTCATTCCCAGGGTGCCAGATGCATAAGCAATGGTGCACTCGAACACCAGCGCTCCCCCACCTTCTGCAGCCACAGACTCTGCCTCTCCACCCTCCTTTATTGCACTGGTAAAACCCAATAACGAGTAAAACCCCGTCAGCAGCAGCAGCAGCAGCAACCATCTGCTCCCAGAGGGCTCCGTGCACCGGGAGCAGGGCACCCAGAGCACCCCGGCAGCCCTCAGGGTCTCTCCAGGCGTGGGTATTTCTTGCGCAGGACGGAGACCTGGTCCTTGAAGAGGACGGGGTCGAGGCGCAGCTGGGAGGGCACCAGGGGCATGTGGCCAAACCAGTCCACCAGCTGGTTGAGGCAGTCCTGCCGCTGGGAGAAACGCCGGCTGCCGGCCGCCCCCGCCGTGCCCTTCACCTTGGCAGCGGGACAGCGCGGGGGTGAGGGGCTGCACTCCCCGCTCGGGGGGGTCCCCACACCCCCGTCCACCCACCCTACCTGCTGGGGCGCCGTGTCCTTGTACTGCTTCCTCTGGGTGACCTTGATGGGGGGCAGCTTGGTGACGGCGGCCACCAGGACGTTCATCAGGATGTCCTCGCAGGCGGCCAGGCCGTCCACCAGGTCCCGCAGCCCCGCCGGCAGGTACTCGGTGAAGAGGCTGTGGTAGTACCTGGGGAGGGGGCGAGGTGGGGGGCAGGATGTGGCCGAATTCCCCTGCCCACCAGCCCCTGCCCGGGCGGGTACCTGTGGTAGAAGGCGGCGGCGGTGAGGACGATGGAGAGCTCGTTGGTCCATTTGGAGGTGTAGCCCCAGCGCCCCTGCTCGGGGTCCCAGAAGTGGCTCAGGGCGGGGAAGCCCACGATGCGCTCGGGGAAGCTGCGCCACACCACGAAGGCAAAGTCCACCTGGCACAGGGTGGGGGGACGGTGTCACCCACTGTGGGTCACCCACTGCCGCCCCCGCCTTCTCCTAGGGGGTATGGGGACATGGGGACAGCAGCACTGCTCCTGCCAGCCCCCTGAGCATCTGAGGGACCAGGGAGTGTGGTGCCCACGGGCTCACCTCGCTGGTTGAGAGGCTGGTGTACTCATCCAGGCTCAGCACTGCGTCCGTCTGGATGGCCGTGTAGGGGAAGAAGCGGTCGCTGAGCTGTGGAGGGGTCAAAGACAGGTTGGGCTGAGCCACGCAGCTCCCTGCCTTCATCCTGGCTCCCTGCCTTGCATCCCAGCCCCTCTCACCTTCCTCCTGCCCTGGATGATGGTCAGAGGCACGGTGGTCTGGGGCCATTTCCCGCTCGGTGGTGGTGGCCTCTCACAGCTCCACAGCACCAGGATCTACAGGGGGGAGAATGGGTGTGTCTGCTCATCCCAAAACCACCTCGTGGCAGTTTGGACCAGGATAAACCCCCATGTGGTCCTACCTCCACCCTGGGGACTGGGGATACACCTCTGCCCACCCAAGGGTGGCACCATTAGCCACCCACTCCCACCCCTAAACACATCCATCCCCTTCCCAACCATGGGACCCTGCCCCATCCCTTCTGCTGGATCCTTGGGAGCTGCACCAGCTACTGCAGGGCTCAGCTCTTCCCACCTGGGCACAGTATTGGGATCCAGAGACTGCTTGGATGAGCCTGAGGAAGGGCTGGGAGAGGGAACCCGCTTGTGAGACCACCCGGATCAAGGCTGTGAATTTCTCGGAGGGGCTGGAGCCTGAAAAAAGGGTGTGAGAGAGGACAGTTGTTGTGGCATGCACTGAGTTTGCCGTGCTCAGCTGGGGACAGGTGGGGTCCTACCGTGCTGCAGGTAGTAGAAGGGAAAATCCCCTGGGTGGGTGGAGAAGTCGGGCAGGACCAGGAGCCCCCCGGGCAGCGTGTTCCAGAGGAAGCGGGAGCGGGAACGGTGCGGAGACAGACGGTCCTTGATGATCTGCCAGAGGCCAAAGCGATGCTCCCAGCGCCCTGGTTGTGACCCTGGGAGCCATGAGGGGAAGTTTGGGGTAGGGGCCTCACCTCCAGCGTGGTGTGTACAATCTTGTCCACGGAGGAGAAGTATGCATCCCACAGGAACTGGGTCTGCTGCTGGAAAGCCAGCACGCGCTCCGGGTGGATGCAGCGGACAGCAGAAGGGATCTGTGATGGTAGGGGGCAGCTGGTTTCTCCTCTCAGCAACCCCCAGCAGGGCTCCTTGCCTACACCACCTCCAACCATCCCAAGGGAACCTCCTCCCTGACCCAGGCAAGGATGCTGTGCCACCGCTCCACTGTGGTGTTGCATCCCCTCTCTCTGGAGCAGGATCTGGTCCAGGATCTCCAAGGGTTAGAGTCTGGGATGGGTCTTGGTCAGCCCTCCAGGATGAACCCCCCACCAGGGCTGCAGCTGGAACAGGACCCTGCTTCTAAGCTGGATGAGACTCTCCTGCATCCATCCACGTGAGAGCTGCTGGACTTGGCAGCAGGGATTTCTCCCCTAGACTTGGCTGGGGGATCCACCACCACTGAAATTAAGATTTGGGGTCCCCTGTGCCCGTTTTGGGGCAGGATCCAGCCACGGTACCTGCAGCAGGAGCCTCTCACTGCCCACGACAGCAGCTTTGCTCCAGTCGATGGCCTCGGCGAAGGGCAGCTCCCAGCCGTCACTCAGCAGCACAGGGATGCAGGCAGCCTGTGGTGGGACCCCACAGGGGTGGGACAGAGCCCCCCGGACCCCGAGGAGGGGGTGCCCTGTCCCCCTGCCCACCCTGTACCTGCAGAGCCTCCAGGAAGCGGAAGGAGCCCAGGCGCCTGCCCCGGGGCACGATGCAGAAGGTGGAGTTGTGCAGCAGCTCCTGGTAGTCGAACCTGGGATGGGAGATGGGGTGGGAGTCAGGAATGACCCCCAGTCCCAATCCATGAGCATCCTGGAGGTCTCACTTGCACCTGGAGGGTGTGTGTGACCAGCCCAGGGCAGCGTTAGGATTGAGTGAGGTTGATTTTGGCTCTGAGTATCCCCGGGGCTGGTGGAGCAGACACGCCCCGGGTGATGTGCCGCCCTTAACGGGTGGGGGGTCAGGATAGGACCCCGGTGCCTTCAAAGGCATGACCCTGCTCCCCCCACCCTCCAGTAATGAAACTCCACGCAAAGCCACCACCCGAACCCCCAAGCCCGAAACTGCGGCGACTTCTCTGCCGTGCCCGGACTTGCCGGGCAGGACCAGCCCTGCCTACCCTGGCAGCGTTTGGCGGAGGGGGGGGGCGGTGGGTGCAGCCAGCGTGGCCCCCCCGGGCCGGGCTCGCCCGTGGGGCTATGAAAGCCCCTTCTGTGCCGTGGTGGGGAGAGGCGCGTCCGCTGCCGGGTCCCTGCGACCGCGCCGGAAAATCCAATATTGACTCTAGGTCGGCACAGACCCCGTCTGTTCCTGCCCGCGGGGAGGGAGGGACGGGGCGGCCGCCTCCTGGATGGGATAGGGGGGATGTGCGTAGTCCAGCTGCGGGGGTGGGAGACCAAAGAGTTCCTTGAATCAAGTGTGCTGGTCCCCAGGAGGGAACGAGGTGCTGGTGCCAGCCTGGGAGTTGAGGATGTGTCCCCTCACAGTGCTGGAGCACCCTGGGGCATCCCGGCACTCTGGGATGTGGGAAATCAGCCCCAATGCCAAGGCACAAAGTTTTACAATAAAACCCACCTCTGGTCAAACTGTCCCAGCAGATGCCAAAAGCCTCGTTAGTGCACCCTGACTCTTTGACACCCAAAACCCAAGAGGAGGGGTGACGGCGGCTCCAAACAGCGCCCAGACCCTCCCCATGAAACCACAGCAGTGACAGCCACATCCCCGGGGCCAGGCACTGCTGCCACCCGCTCCTCGGGGACCCCAGACCCAGCCACGACCCCCAGCATCCCCGGGGGGCCATTCCCACTGCCAGGGCTGGGTGGGCAGCGGGACACATCCTGCGGGGCAGCCTCCCCTCTGCAGAGGTGCCGTGGGGAGGCTGGCGCCGGCCGGGCTGCGGGGCCAAAACCTCCCGATGGAAATACTTCGCTCCTGACGCTGCTGCGGTTTCCGGGCAATCACGGCCGTCAGGGCTTCCTTGTTTTGTTAGGAGCCGGGACGGGCGCCCGCCGCGCTCCCTTCGCCAGGCCCCTCCGTGGCTCCGGCCAGGCACGGTGCCACCGGGGGATCGTCGGCTCCAGAGAGCCTTTCCCAACCCGCTCAGATTGCTCCAAACCCGGGGCAGCCGGCAGCAGGGCTGGCCCACAGCTCTGCCACAAGCCACCCTTTATCCCAGTACAGAACCAGCTTGTTTCTGGCATTCCCCCCCTCTCCCCCCGAGCACAGCAGGGTCGAGGAGGATGATGGAACCCCCAGCAAGGCCTTCCTCTGCTCCCCGTGCTGCCTCCACGGTGACAGCACCCGATGTCCCCAACACACCGCGTGAACGGGGCAGCTGGGGGCTCGCTTTGCCAGCTGTGGTGTGTCCCCTCCCTGCTGGCTTGTCCCCTGTCCAAGTCTGGGAACATCTCCCAGGGCAGGAGGGCATCAATCCCCATGGGAGGTTGGGCAGAGCTGGCCAGGCACGATGGAGACGCCGATGGCTTTTTGCCCGGTGTCCCACA